GCTGGAGGGACTATGTCTCTCGGCTGGCCTGGGAACGCCTCAGCATTCCCCCGGAGGAGCTGGAGGAAGTGTCTGGAGAGAGGGAAGTCTGGGCATTTTTGCTTAGACTGCTGCCCCCGCGACCCGGTCCCGGATAAGCACAGGAAAATGGATGGATGGATGGAAACTTGCTTGTATTTGACGATGGTTCAACACCATCAAATTTGCTGTTACTTTATGTGTAATGTTTTAAGAGCAAACATAACCCTTGTCAGGCCTAGGGTATGTAACATTACTGGCTTTACCTGTTTGTTAAGTCATGGCTTTCTGTCACTCAGACATACTGTGCAGTAAGTCACTCTTATGTTAATGCTCATGGCTTCATTCAGACACACCCAAAAGCATGATGGAGAGAGGCACGGTACACCCACGGAATTTGCCATATACACATCACTAGACAGTACATCAAGTGTATAATGTACTCTATGTTTTATTACAACATGGCAGACAAGCCTGAGTGCACCTGGATGTATACAAGCACACATATTACCTCTGTGAGAGTGTTTCTTATATAACTGTAAGAATGTTTTACAGGTATGCATACCAGCATCTCATATGCATCATGACACCTAGTGCATGTTTCAAAGGTGTAAAAGTACAGCTGCTTATTTATTTCCTAAAGCGTCCCTCATACCAGTCACTCTACATATGGAGTACTGGTCCTACTATAGCTCTATTCACAGGACTTCTGAAGCAATCCAACTCTTGACAGTCCTGCTGTGTGTGGTTACAGCTATGGGGGTTAACAATCAGTTCTACTGCTCATCATGTTTGGCCTAAGATTGATTCTTGAACTTAAATCTAATAGTGTGCTAAATGAGAGAACTTAAAGGTAATCTACCTTTAGCTGCTAGTAGTTCTAGTGAGACTTAAAACAAACACACCATAAACCGCTCCTTACCACTTTTTGGCCCCTTCCAGTCCTGTTTCCTGAAGCTACAACATGAAGTGTGGATGCCTGGTTGTGCTAAAATGTACAAAAGGCAGCCGAGTCCGGGCTCTATGGCAGCATTCACATAATGTCAAGTGATGAGGTTGACAGATTAGTGATCTATGATACTTAGATTATACAGCATGTATGGCTCATGTTTTTGTAGAGGATGTAAATACTTGTGTCTTGTTGCTGGGTGGCAGGTGGGGCAAATTTACAGGCAACTCAGGGTAGAAAATATGGAATAACCACTGAAAGGCTGTAGGTAGCTAAGGGTCAAAGAGGGGGAAAGTAGGGTTGAGAGACACTGCATCCTGTCCCATTTTGCTTGATTTACCAGACAATGTGTAAAACCTTAGTCAATGCACCTTTAACAATTGTTTGATTATACCTAAACAATAAACAAAATTCTGTATGAAGGAAATGAGTCAACCTTTTCTATCTTGGCCCATCCTCTGCCTTATCTATATGTAAAGTAACATTTTGAATCCTATTTCTGAAAATTAGGCAATGAGGAAATATTCTAAACTAAACCTCAGTGCCATTCCCTTCACTGTTTCTTTTTTTGTCAGGGCTCAGCAGTAACAACACTTTGGCAACATTTTGCAGTGACAAGGCATTAAGAGGAAGTGGTACGTAAATAAAGTGGCACATATACCTGGGCCCCACCCATCTCCCTATGGCAAGGCTGGTCTGGTCTCAAACACACAGGCAGGGAAAGCATGCACAGGCATGAGAGTGCATTCACTCTCCATTCGGATAAAAGGTCTGTAGGATAAAGTGCTTTTGTATATGCAAGCCAGCTGAAAGGCCAATCCATCATCCCAGATTTTGTCAGATCTTTATTAAATTATCTCTTGCCTCCCTCCCAGCACAGCCATGCCTACAGCCATAGGAAGAGGGGTCAGGATGGGTCAGACGAATCAGACGCTGTAGCAGACTGCCTATATTATGGCTCATGCTCGCGCTGCCTGCTAGTTAAATTTTCAGGGTCTGCATTCATTCTCAGAATTAGAGTACTAATGCAGGTTCACCAGCCTACTGCCCTGGGACTGATCTGTGAGGCAGAAACTGATCATGGGTCCGAATTCCTGTTCTGATACTGTGAATGAGCACAGACCCGCATGTGGAGGGGAGACAACAGTAGTGGCCCATGCATCAAAATCACCCAGTAAGCCTTACCCTGTCCTTCACTATGAGACACTTTGCAAGGGGAGAAGACAGACAACGGACACAGAGTTAGTCAGGGTTTACACTGGAGAACATGGGGACAAAAGAGTTCCAGGCGGCTCTGCCCCACACACCACGCAAAATCCTCTGAGAAAGTTCAGAAAAACTATATTATCAGGGATTCTCTCTGTTCAGTTAAGTCAGTAAGCCACAAGTGGATTTGTACACACACTGGCTCAGTTCCAATCCAGTAGACTGCTCCCTTGCATCTAATGCACCATTTTTCTTTCAGCTGAAAAAATCTGGTCAACACGGGAGAAACAAAACTTATTTTACATCTTCATTCCAGGCTAGAAGTCAACCTGTAAACAGACAAATGAGATCTCTGCTCCAGATTTGAACCCAGCCAGTGTTTTTACCTTTAGGGGGCGCAAACATCACATTGACAACACAAAGAGAACATAAAAAAGATGCTAACCACTTTGTCCTCCTTTTGTGGCATGCAGTCCAGGTAGCAGTGAGAATTAAGAAAAGTGAGGGAGGAGGTGGATCCAGAAAGAAAAGGGGAGAAAGAAATGAAATTGTAACATGTACGGTATAAAAATAAAGATGTAAAATGAGATTGTACAAATTTGGGGAAAAGAATGAGAAAACAAAGGAGAAGAGGGGGAAAGCAAATGCAAACACTTGTTAATTACATTCAGTTGAAACACACACTTAAGATTCAATGATGGAGTGTGAGGTGGTGAGGACAATAATATGTAATGTAATATCAGCGACCACAGACATGTTAGGCTGCAGCAACATGCATGATCCAGCTCGGCATGACCTTGGTGTGACATGTGACAACATCATAATGTGTCACAGCACAGAGAAACGTTTTTTTATAGAAATACACCGCAACACAAAACTTCACGTTAAAGCAGCTTTGTTCCTGTTTCATGCTGTTTGAAAACACCAAAGATGTCGGTGATGGGGAACAAAAGAATGGTTTGAATTATCATTAAAGTGCATAATATTTCATCATTTGTATTTTTATGGAGCCAGGGCAACAAATCTAAATTTTGGCATTAGAAGAAGAAGCTTTATTTTATTGTAACATGTACAATGAAGTTTTGTTTGGAGGTGAGGGGCTGCTGTGTCCATACGCACCGCCATCATGGGCACCTTGGGGGGGTTCAGTGTCTTGGCCAAGGACACTTTGACATGTGGACTTCAGTCAATGAGATTTGAACCTTCAACCTTCCGGTTGGGAGACAACTGCTCTACCCACTTACTCTGACAGTTTTTTCCCATGTCAGTGGTTTTTGCTTTCAGTTTTCTGTCATTGTTTTGTTGTGGAGGGGACAGCGTTGAGGGGAGGGGCTAACGAGAGCATGGTTTGCATCATATAGAGAGACCATGTAAAATGCAAGGAGAAACTGCGAACAGAGAGGAGCTGGGGAATGGTGTCCGGAGACATGAGGTCTTTTCCTCTGGTCCTTCATCTGAAGCATCCAATCTCGTGTTTCCTTGCTCATGGCTTCTCCAGGCAGCCTCCTCGATCCACAGGTCCATGAGAAAAGGACATCCCTCTTGTTGATCCTGCTCTGCTGCTGGGCGTGACTGCACACTGACAGCAGTAGCTCCCACAAACGCATCTTAAACTGCTAAACAGCAGTGTTGTGTCAGTGCCCGTTTCCTTTTTCAATTCAGGTTTTCTTTTCAATTGCAAATTTTATTTTTATTTTTATTTCCAAAATGTAAAGTCACTGTGCATTTTAACCATCAGGATACATTTAATTTATGTTTAATTTACTTTTAATGCAAACTACTTAGTGAATGCTAAATATAAGTTACTACAATGTAATTAGTAAATAAAGTAAATGTTATTGCCGATCCCTCTTTAACAATACTGTTTGTGTACAGTTTGCTTTGTGGCCTAACCAGTATTTGGAAGGCACATTGTATGAAGCTGCTGTGATGTCTTCTGCAGGACACAGGGCAGCACTGCCCAGCTCTGTCACTGGGAGTTGATAAATTATTACAGTAGTGTGCCTAGAAGCAAATAAGAATTTACTAAAATGCTTACCTAACAGTTTTACTTTTTACAGGTCTTCTATAATTCTATAAATATACCAATGTGTTCTCATTCCCACGGTGTTAAATACTGATGTTTTGTCAAGTACCTTTTGCATCTCATAATGACACTAAAGGGTCCCTTTGGCATCCGTATAAGAGACTCTGGGTTTTCATTACAGAACACCTTTAACCCAGTCACATTAGTACACATAAACTACATAGTTATGTTTAAGTACAAAAACCATGTGGTTATGTTTAGGAAAATACTGCAGCTTGGGTTAAAACACTTGCTGATTAAAAACCGCTTCATTACACACGGGGAGGCGAACTCCACTGTCCCGTGGGTAGGTTCGATGATTGGTTGACCCACCATCAACCCCAGCCACCTCCTGGCCCAGACTGCCTTCATATAGTACTACCTAAACCAAGTGGGTCTCCTATGAACACCAAAGGCGACCCTTGGTGGTCATATGAAATGCTAAAGCAGGGGGTTGGCCACCCCTACGTTAAAGGCACTTGACATTACGTTAGTATTTGATGCCGTGGGAATGAGGACAGGCTAAATATACACATGTAACATGTGATTTGATAAATGATATAAAAACTGTTTTCAAATTTCATTTACATTTTCATAGGAGTTCGTTATATTTTATGGGTTCAAAAAGGGATCTTTAAGAGAAGCACAAAATCTTATTGACCTTTCTAGACCTTACGCTTTTTTATAGTGTCAGAATCTCACTTAGCCCTCAAGGCGTCTAGCAATGCAGATGGTTCATAAAGATTCATAACTCCAGGTTTTTATGTATCTGAGCTTTCAGCCACTACTGCAAAACAGTGGATGCATGATGTCATTTTGTTAGTGTTGTCCAGTACAATTTGTGCAACAGTTTCAAAATGACATTTGATACTTTTTGTGTTAGTTTGTCACTGTTCAAAATGTAAAATTGCTCCATGTGTGTAGAAATTCAGATCTGTTTGGTTAAATAGAATTTTTATGTGAGGCAGTATTTAATGAATTCCCAATGTAGATCACAATGGGAAAATATAAAGCAAATCAACCAGGTACTGAATATGTTTTGTATTTAGTGCCTTCTAATCCTAATTAATTTAACAGGACACTAATGTATTCATTGATTAAACGATTCACTATGTCAATGTGACACTTGTGCAGACTCAGACAAAAACACACACTCTCACATAAACAATAATTAGTGTAAATGTGTCTTCTGCACTAAACTCTCCTTTCTTTTGATTGACTTAAATTAGTGTTGCTGCTGAGTATCATCCCAAGACATTAAATTCCACATTAAAACATTTATTACATTCATAATTAAAGATGATATATTAATTGATTATATTTTGAGCATAATTTCCCCTCAAATAAATTCTTTGCGTTATTTGTTTTATTTATAGTTGGCATATGCATCTTTCTGGTCTTATCTCACCATTTTCTTGTTACAACCTTCCTGCTGTGAAGTTAATTTTAGTGGCTTCACCAACAGGGATGCTATCTTTATCCCTTATTCTCACTGGCCTTTGAGTTCTGCATACATGTGGCCACAGTGTGAGTCCAGGTCCAGCTGGGTCGGGCAGATCCTGAACAGATTGGGGACCAGCAGGGTCGATAGTCAGGTGGAATATCCAAGAGGAGGTCCTCTCTCTTGGGTTGGAGGGGAGCACAGAGAGTGTTTGCATGGAAGAGGGCTGAGACTAAAAATAGCACAAACATGTTTGGTTTATGGATGGATGCCACACCGACCCAATCTAGTGGTGGGAGGTTGAATTCTTCATAATAGTTGGTGTTTTGGTGTTGGCCTTTGATTTATATTAGTGTTGCAAATAAACAAATGATGCTACAGTACAGGAGTTGTTTGAGAAGGGTTTTGGACATTCAGCTACTACTGGAAGCGATTCTAAGTGTTGCAAATAAAAGCTAAATGTAGCTAGGTCCTTCATTACATACTACACTTTTTACTTTATTATGATAAAATTATGATAAGGTTTTCATCTAAACTTTGTAACCTGTCTTTTCCTCACTGGTGGTGGTCTTTGTCTCAGCATGTTGCTTGAGAAGAGCATGTCACTGCCTGACATGCTTGCTTGATGGCTGCAGTGCAGTCACAGGAGACACAGGACAACACACATGCTGTTACTGGTGCACTTTCACATTCATGTGAGCTTAAGTGCTTAAATTTAGAACCATTACACAGCACTACATCTTTAGACTCTGTTCTTCCAATACACTTTGGTGTCACCAGAGTGTGGCCAGGAAACAAGCAAGCAGATGTTAACGAACACACACTGTGAATTAACAACAACGGGAATGAAGTGACTGTGAAAGAGAAAAGGAAAAAGGGTGGAGGTCAGGTTTCTCACATTGTTGGAGCGCAGAGAGACCCTCCCTCCACAGCGAGCACAGAATTTGGTCTGGCAGTAGGAGCAGAGGTGGCCGCAGCCATCAGCAAACTTGGTCTTGTGGCAGATACCACAGGTTGGTGCGTCGTCCTTTTGCTGGGTCTGCTGACGCCGTGTGTCCGCCCCGATGCGACGCACCTCCTGTTTGTAGCTCTCAAACTGCTTGTGCAGTGTTCTGAGAGGAGAAGAGAGAAAATGTGATGATAAGTTAGTGATAACATCATGCAGTCACAAAATTTTTGTTCTTTAACAAACTTTAACTCAGCTTCCTAAGTATTTGTGTGTTCCTTTAAAAAAGGAAGTGAAGGGATTTCTGAATAAGTGAATAATTTTTAAATAAATAAACAAACAGAAAGTAATGTAAGCACTTGTATGAGAACAGCATCTCAGTTAAAGCAAAATAACTGGCAATTAGAACGCCACTTGAAAGGTGCCTTTCAAAAACAAAGAAGTCATACATGCAATTAAATGAAAGTTCAGCTCAGTTTTGCTCTCTGTGGCTCACAACCTTTTCCTCTCTGCTTCCCGGGATGCCTATGATGAAAATAGCCCAAGTGTGAATTGCAAATCAGGCCATGTGAAAACACCCACAATGTTTTCTCAACAGAACTGTCAAAGGAAAGTAGGGGCCCCAGACAGGCACTTTAATTACTTCGCTGAGTGAGAGAGGTAGATGGGAAAGAGATGGCTTCATTCACAGCTTTGCAGCCAATCTGCGTATTTGTGGAAGCAGACAAACTCTAGTTAAGTCTCTAGGCAGCAAACTGAGTTTACAGTCATGTCTGCAAGTTTGCTGAAATTAAAAAAATAGACATTCATACTAAATCTGCTTACATAAAATCAGAGCTGAATAAGAGGAAGGCCTGCTCCAGTAATCTGCAGGACACTGATCACCTGCTGCTCTCTGATCAATAGTTCAATGTGAGCAAATCTGCAAAAAAATCCTTAAATGTAAGTGTAATACCGTAATTTCCGGACTATTGAGCGCACCTGAATATAAGTCGCACCAACTAAATTTAAAACGAAAAACATTTTCTACATAGCCGCAGGTGTTGCAGCGTGTTCTTTCATGAAGAATAATCGGAATCAAATATCAATTTTCAAACATTTATTATCATAACTAAACAGACCATCGAATAAAGCAATTTACAGAGCTCTGGGTTCCATCTCTATCTGAAGCCCTGACCTCAACAGCAAAACCGTTCAACCTGACTACAGGAGGAGAAGGAACGCTGTCCTCCTCCATTCAGTTGTTTTTATACAATTTCAAATGTGCCCTTGTAAACTGGTCCGGTCCTCTCGTGCTGTTCTATTGGTCCATGTATCCATCCGTCCCCCTTCTGCATCCTTCCTGCTCCAATGGGAAAAGCAGCTTCCTAAAGATGGAGGAAATCCTACTCTGTCTAAATACCTACACTCACCCCTTTCTTTGTTATACTATATGAGACATGGCTTCCCGTTTGGCTAATTAAACTGTCTTGCCTGTGTGTGTCTGTATATTGCCCTGTCTTTTGAAGTTGTCTTCCTCTTGTTGGCTTTTAGATCTAATCTCTTGTTTATTACCCCTAGTGTCCCAGTGACCCCAAATTCCCTGGCCTCTTCAGCCAGGTGGTGATCATAAAACAACTGTGGACCCTCTTTGCTAAAGCTGTAAATCTAATGTGATTCAGTGTTTTAGTGAATCAGTCTCCCTTGATGTTAAACAGTACCCCAGTTGGCTAACACAGTAAATACTGGCCAATACTTCAGTGGACACATAGAATGAGATACTCAACTAACTATGTTAACATAATTGTAACATACAAGTAAGCAAACTCATGCATGCTCTAAACTAAATCCTAATTATTCATTTTCTTAATATGATAGAATAATCATATGACACACAGTAAACAAACAAGTTAACTAATCAACAAACATAATGTTAATCTTCTACTAATTAAGTTTTTAATTCATAAAATATTAGAATCAACCTTAAAGTATGCCTTGTTAATAATTTTACCCAACAGTGTCCACATTGAAACATGAGATATTTCGACAGACAGATCGATCGCCTTTAACTTAACTGGAAAGCTGCATCATATGCATTTCATTGTGTGTTTTCCATGATGAGGGTGTGTGCATGAAGCGAAAAAAGTAGTGGCTTATAGTCCGGAAATTACGGTAGATCAGCTTAGTCTATCATTTGTAAACCCACATTCCTAGATCCCAAGATAAATTCTTTTTCAACCAATAGTCCAACAAGTACCAAAGATTTACACTGATCACCTGGATCTGCTGAAAGCAGACATGTCCTCCCATCTAGAGTGCCCAGCTCCTTGATAGAAAACAGGTAGAAAACAAAACACCTGATCTGATGTGAGCAGGTTGTTGTGGTAGAAATAAAACCGACAATATTCCTCCACCATGACCCATCCAAAGCTCAGGATGCTTTGCCTTAGCAGAATTCTTCTGAGTTGGAAAAAAGCTCAGTCTTTGTCCGTTTTTACTGAAAAAACAAGCTGTCCAACAAGAACTTATGTAATTTCCACAACTCATGCAATCTCCCTGAAAAAACTTTTTTTTTAAAGACAGCAAGTAGAAACTTTCCAAGCCTAAGAAATGAGCTGACAAGAGATTATAGTAGAGTCCTCTTCACTACTGTCTTTCTAGCTGTCTGTGGCTCCAGCAGCCGGCACAGTTGGAACAGTGAGGTGACTGGACAATTTCTGGGCCAATTGGCTGACACAGGGAATGGTTGGAACAGAGGACAGTTCATTTGTGATGTAAAATGTTCAGTGAAATTTGAAAAAAATAAAAGGAATCGTGATTAATGTTTCATGTAAAAATACACAGTGAAGTCAAGGTTACACAATAGATCAGGCTCTGTCTATAACACACAGCTTTTAAATTTTACATGATATCAAGTCTTCCATACATTTCTCTCAAATGTTTGGTTCAGATACTTTTGTAAGGAATGCATGAATTTTGAGCAGGTACAACATAATAGATCCAGTGAAATTCTGCAACTGTGTCATCCAGAAAGACACAGGTACAGATTTCAAGGGGAAGTGTCTGCACAGAGATGCATGAATGTGGTACACATGTACATTTTCACTCAGAGGTCTCAAGTAGGCTTTAATTTAGTCTAAATGATGATAAATGGACATTGCAGTTGACACAAACCTCAGCTAAACTGATCCATACACATTTCAAATGAAAAAACAACATGGCACCGCCATGGCAATGACGTCATAGATGTGACCTCTGACCCCGCAATGCTATCTATCCTGCCAGTGGGAGTCCAGGGATGAGCCAAGCACAGGCACCATGGGAACAGCTGTCAGAAGCAGAGGGTGCACGGCTGGTTGTCATGGTAACATGGTGGCATCAAGCACCGGGTGTCAGCGGGTGTCAGTGCACCAGCTGTTCCTGTTCTTAGAGCGTCATCAGTTTTTTTTCTACCACTTCCACACAGTCAGCAGACAAGCACTCTGAGAGCTGGACAAGGTGACGCTTTTAATACAGAAATACCTCAGAAAGGAGCTCTGCAGCAGCAAGGACAGCCTCAACTTGAGTGAAAATATAATATCAGGTTTGGAAAATTTTCCATTGGGAGGAAAAGGGAAGAAAAACAGAAGTGTCCTAAATATTAGCGAGTCATTGCCAGTAATGTCTGTACCCCACAACCATAAAACTGATATTTCTTGTCATATGGTGTACCTTTATTTAAACCTACATGTAGAATTCCCCCCCATATCCAAAAAGCATTATGTCTGTCTGCCACTCTACGGCTTTAAATCTACATTCATGGATTTCTTTATCTACCCGTGAGATCAACACAACAAGCTGAAAACACAGCACTGCATATTATCACCTCATCAGCAGACACAGAGGAGGATTAGCATTCATTTCAGTCATGTTTCTTCTTTTTGTGCTCTGTTTTGGTCTCCACCAACTCCTGGGGGAGGTATCTGGCTCTTTAACTGCTAAATGCTCCACTGCGCTCACAAGCTAGTTGCTGTCTTTGTTTTTCTATCATTTAGCACTGAGCATGTAGAACAGATGGGTATCAGAGCTGAAAACAGATGCCTGCTGCCGCTGGAAGCTATGCTGGTGAGAGTGGTGAACCAGAGCAGTAGAGGTGCTGAAGGATGCTAAAACACTCCACAGAGCTTGCAAGGAACTATAGAACCACATGACAGTTCTCTGACCTTAAGTAATGACTATGATCAGCCCCATGCAAATTACTCATAATCCCTTTTCTTATTACTAATTTAACAACAAATTTTAGTGCACCCTCAACTCATAATATCATTTTACCTGCACTTTGTAGTTTAGAAGCAAAGAGAAAATGCTAAAACAGTATTTTTCCTCCATTTTATAACTAACTGAGTTTAACTGATCATCATCACGGATGGCAATGACACAAAATGTGTGATGGTAACATGCTCTCACAGAGAGTGCAAAGAGAATGTGTCAGATACACACAGTAAATGGTGGGTTCCATAAATACATACGATATTCAGTGACTGTGACATTTTTTCTCACCTGGAAAGCTGTCTGCATAGAACTAGGCACATGTATTCACCCAACAAGTGCACTCTTGCAAACTTTAAAATTTACATCCTATTAAAAGACAATGTGACAGTCCAGACTAATGCCCTCATGAGTCAGCACACAGTTTCCACACTGATCCTCAAATGTGTATCATGAACCTTCATATTAATCTTAACCTTGACTCAGCAGGGGATACATGAGTGACCCCAACCATACGGATAAAAACATAACCACTCAGTGAAGAGGGATGGACCTGCTGTTAGGTGAGGACATGCTCTTTGTGTTTATCGATTACATGTCTGAGCCTGCTGCCTACTCAGGGGTCAACCACTATGTCTGGGATCACATGTGGCGATTGATTAAAAAGAACAGATAATGTCCTCAGTACACTATGTCAGCTATGCAGGCTCCACTACAATTACACACACGTGTAATCACAGACACACAGGGTGAAGAAATGAGTATGAAGACATTGCATTAGTTGTGTTGCCATAAAGTATTCTACCACAAACCACAGAGCTGAATTCATATCTATTACACAGCAACAAGGTCACACAAACTGATCCTACGTTTTATACAGGAAGTATTGTACTTGTATTTGTTTATAAGTCAGTCAAAAGTTTAATTTTGGATACACAC